GTTGAAAGGAAAAAAACAAAGTTGACAGTAAAGAGGTTTAGTTACAACGTTTCGAAAGACCATCCCAGAGATTTATTGACTCCAACCGTTCAATAATTTAAATGTTAAAATCTTATTTTTTATTTTGAAGCAAAAACATTGGAGTTTTTGTATGTTTGTGCATTAAGGTCTGAAACTTTTTTTAAATTTTGAATCTTATGTAATTGTTTGTAGTTTACATTTCAAGCACTTTTAATGTGGCAATCAACACACCCTTCGACCTTCTTAAGCTTTCTACATCGTTTTTATGCCTTTAGCGTAATATTTAATAAATGTTATGTCCTTCATACCATTTTCCGATATATGGTGTAGTATGTTCCGTATTGTCTTTTTCACCCAATATTGTTCACTATTCATGTAACTTCATTCTTGCCTTGAACACTTTTTCGTGTCGTCTTACGAATCTCGTGTCGTGTTTTAATTTTTTAATTAACTATAGAGTGTAAATATAAAAAATTAAATTTATCAACTATTCATGTTTTCTATTTTCTTCATTAATATCCGCATAGAAATTAAATTTTGAACATGAAATATCAATGATGCAATGACTTTTTGATGAATTAATCGAAATCATATATAAAACAATGTCTTATTTAACATATTCATACAAAAAACAATTAATAACTTCCAATCGCATAATCCAAGAACTGCAAGTATGAAAAGTTGTCATTTGAAGCAAGTACTTTTAATGGTTCCAACATTTAATTCATTTTTCGCTGATAATTAAAACACCATAAAGAATTTATGCAAAAATCAAGTAGGAACGTTTGAAATTCAATGGTGGTCAAAAATTTCCTGTCATACTTTTAAAGAATGTATGATCATGAACACTGTACAGCGTAAACTATATCTCTAGCTAGCTATTAATTGTCCCCAGCCTTGATTAGTACATGTATATATACACGATCCTTTCTGTATGTAACTGTGAGGGAAAATACAAATATAACAAAGCCATGAGAGTGTTTTTCTTCATTTTGTCTCATTGTGTCTCCTATGATGTGTTCTCGCTTTCGAGAATAAAAAAATTAATTTAATTGACAAGTAAAAATCCAAAAACCTAAAATAAAATGACCTACAGTAAATACGTGTATACAAGACCTTTCTGATGATAATCTTGTTAACGTTAAGTTGACCTATTTCTGACTATCAGCTGTAAGGGTACTATTCCGTCACTATAAATTCCCCTTAACACGGTTCTTCCATTTACTACGGGACTACAGGTCACAGTAGACACGACAGTTACATAACTCTGGACGTGTTGTACTGATGACCGCTAATGATTAGGACAAAAGATTAATCAGCGGTTCTTAATGACTTGTAATTTGTACAGACGATCGGTATGTGAGACCTAGAACTGCCTATGAGGAATGCTAACATATATGAGTAATTATAGGATCCCTCTATATCATTGTATATTATCACATAAATTGAAATGTGTTCACTTAGGATTTTACTTGAATATAATTTGAATCTAAGTGAAATTTAACTGTTTTTAAGTAACTATAGAAGTTCAATTATATCATTATTAACACTTCAGATGTATTAAAATAAAAATATCAATAAATTTAAGCTCCTTCTGCGTCACTTAATTTTTTTTAAAGAATTTAAATCACATGGATCCAAGGATTTCCTTTTCTGGATTAAACTTATATAACAGAGAAATCAAAATCTTTGGTAGGTGAATCAAATCATTAGAAGAGGGCGTTGACCATAACACCTTAACCAATGTGTTCTTACGTCTTAGGTGCTGAATAAATTTTACATTTTATTAATAAATATTTAAGTTCATTTAGAAGGAAATTAATCATGCTAATGAAGGCGGTGTTCACGTAGTTCTATCACAACAGGCATTTCTCAATGTCATTTCTCCACACGCGGAAAATGCTAATTTCCTCCTAAAACTGTTGCAAACCATACTTACAGGAATTCCAATTGGTTTATATACAATAAATTAATATTTTATGTTTAAACACTTATGACAAGTTCAAATATTTAAAAAACACGAATCTCAAAACAGCGAAACTTAGAATGTATACTATTCTCGAAAGAGTCTTACAACAGTTTGGTACAACCAGAAGTCTCTGTTGAGACTGAAGCTCTACTGGTTTGAACTTATAGCAAAGGAAGAGAAAGTACTTAAGCAGCTGGGATTTGAAACTTTATAAACAGCATTAAATAGAATAATGATCTGATAAAGTCTCTTTATGTTCTTAGTGTAGTCTACTTGTGTGCCAAGTTATACTGAAATCAGACCAAAACTGTAGGAGGAGTAGCATTTTGAAACAATTTCACAGAAATTTCTATTTTTAGTAACCACTGCAACACCGTTCATCGAAATCAAAAACCGATGCAAAAAATTATGTATCTTAGTGTAGTCTACCTGTGTGCCAAGTTATACTGAAATCAGACCAAAACTGTAGGAGGAGTAGCATTTTGAAACAATTTCACAGAAATTTCTATTTTTAGTAACCACGGCAACATCGTTCAACAAAATCAAAAACCGATATACAGAATTATGTATCTTAGTGTAGTCTACATGTGTGCCAAGTTATACTGAAATCAGACCAAAACTATAGGAGGAGTAGCATTTTGAAAGAATTTCACAGAAATTTCTATTTTTAGTAACCACGGGAACACCGTTCATCGATATCAAAAACCAATAAACAGAATTATGTATCTTAGTGTATTCAACTTGTTTGCCACTTTATACTGAAATCAGATCAAAACTGTAGGAGAAGTAGCACTTTGAAACAATTTCACAGAAATTTCTATTTTTAGTAACCACGGCAACACAGTTCATCGAAATCAAAAACCAATATACAGAATTATGTATCTTAGTGTAGTCTACTTGTGTGCCAAGTTATACTGAAATCAGACCAAAATTGTAGGAGGAGTAGCATTTTGAAAGAATTTCACAGAAATTTCTATTTTTAGTAACCACGGCAACACCGTTCATCGAAATCAAAAACCGATACACAGAATTATGTATCATAGTGTAGTCTACTTGTGTGCCAAGTTATACTGAAATCAGACCAAAATTGTAGGAGGAGTAGCATTTTGAAAGAATTTCACAGAAATTTCTATTTTTAGTAACCACGGCAACACCGTTCAGCGAAATCAAAAACCGATACACAGAATTATGTATCTTAGTGTAGTCTACTTGTGTGCCAAGTTATACTGAAATCAGACCAAAACTGTAGGAGGAGTAGCATTTTGAAACAATTTCACAGAAATTTCTATTTTTAGTAACCACTGCAACACCGTTCATCGAAATCAAAAACCGATGCAAAAAATTATGTATCTTAGTGTAGTCTACCTGTGTGCCAAGTTATACTGAAATCAGACCAAAACTGTAGGAGGAGTAGCATTTTGAAACAATTTTACAGAAATTTCTATTTTTAGTAACCACGGCAACATCGTTCATCGAAATCAAAAACCGATACACAGAATTATGTATCTTAGTGTAGTCTACATGTGTGCCAAGTTATACTGAAATCAGACCAAAACTGTAGGAGGAGTAGCATTTTGAAAGAATTTCACAGAAATTTCTATTTTTAGTAACCACGGCAACACTGTTCATCGAAATCAAAAACCAATAAACAGAATTATGTATCTTAGTGTATTCTACTTGTATGCCACTTTATACTGAAATCAGATCAAAACTGTAGGAGAAGTAGCATTTTGAAAGAATTTTACAGAAATTTCTATTTTTAGTAACCACGGCAACACCGTTCATCGAAATCAAAAACCGATATACAGAATTATGTATCTTAGTGTAGTCTACTTGTGTGCCAAGTTATACTGAAATCAGACCAAAATTGTAGGAGGAGTAGCATTTTGAAAGAATTTCACAGAAATTTCTATTTTTAGTAACCATGGGAACACCGTTCATCGAAATCAAAAACCAATACACAGAATTATGTATCTTAGTGTATTCTACTTGTGTGCCAAGTTATACTGAAATCAGACCAAAACTGTAGGAGGAGTAGCATTTTGAAACAATTTTACAGAAATTTCTATTTTTAGTAACCACGGCAACACCGTTCATCGAAATCAAAAACCGATACACAGAATTATGTATCTTAGTGTAGTCTACATGTGTGCCAAGTTATACTGAAATCAGACCAAAACTGTAGGAGGAGTAGCATTTTGAAAGAATTTCACAGAAATTTCTATTTTTAGTAACCACGGCAACACCGTTCATCGAAATCAAAAACCGATACACAGAATTATGTATCTTAGTGTAGTCTATTTGTGTGCCAAGTTATATTGAAATTAGACCAAAACTGTAGGAGGAGTAGCATTTTGAAAAATTGTTTACAGACAGACGGACAGACGGACAGACAGACAGACAGACGGACAGACGGACGGACGCCGGACGCATTACTAATAAACTTTCAGTAGAGGAATCAAGCCCCAGGCTCGCTGACAAAGAGTGCATCGACCCCCACTTTTTTCCTCTTCGTTAAAAGCAATACTGACATTTTTGACTCAAAAAATTCTTTTAATTCATCAACAAACAGAACTTACACGGATGTCTCTATATATCGTTACGGAAGGTATTTGGCTTTACTAAAACAGCTATGCTAAGTAAAGGAAATATAGGGTTTGTACACTGTAGCACAAATTGGTATGCTTGATATCAACAGAGATACCGCAGTTTTTTAAAGTTGGAGATTTGAAAAACGATGACAAACGTTTTATCCCCTAAAAACTTTCTGGAAGCTCGTCAAGAGGCAGAACATTTAACATCGAACCCAAGATGTCTTTCGTACGAGAGATTTGATAATTGAAAACGGCTTCCAAGATAACTCTAAAATACTTGTACTTGAAATTGAGAAAGCAACAATGTGATCTTGAGAAATATTGAAAAATTAAAGTATTTAAATTGCAACATCATGTCCTCGAAGACTTCGAACAAGGAAAATGTAACATCGTTCCTCAAAAAATTCCAAACTTACCGGCTGTGTTTCAGCATCATTCGTCGAATTGGCTACTGAATCTTTGAACGGAAAGTCAGCTTCATTGGTTTTGGCGAGTTTATAATTCTCCTCGAAATGTTTAACCCAAGAAGGTGTGTTATCCATAACAGAAATCTTAAATCAATGCAAGTAATCCAGATAATATTATCATTAAATCTTCCTCACTATTTTCCATTATATGGTATTTTCACAGTATATTCCTTTGCAACAACACAAATTTAGGTTTCAAACAAATCAATAAACAACTTTCCAGCTGATGGAACTTGCTTATAGACTCGCGTTGACATCTCCCCTCTTAGTTAGAGGAACCGGTATCGTCTCCTGGCCGATGGAATGGGCCAGTGACTATTAGGGTCCGTGTATCGACGGTACAGGTAAGAATTCAATGATGCGGAACCACAGCACAGACGTGTGGAATTGTGCCAATAGCCCGGTCCTCGGGCTGTCATTATAAGCTCATTGTTCTAGTACCGGAGGGGCACAATTGACTAACTCGTGTGTATCGCCAAAAAATTGTACAATAGATTTTGGCGCCATCCCTTTTATGGATGTGTTTTTAGCCATAATGGTGCTTGTATACGAGTGGTTTTTATAGCAAAAATAAAAACAAAGAGAAAAGAAGGTATATTTTTCATGCAGATTCCTCAGTTTTTGACAATCTACATGTATTATATTTTATAAATAGAATGTTTTTCATACTAATTTCACGAAGCTAAAATTGAAAAATTCTGGGCTAATTTGGAACCATGTGTACAAAGTACACTTATTTTCAAGATCCTTGTAAACGTGAAAATGGCAACGCGCAATATCTGCATTTAGAAAGTATTTACGATAAGCATTTATTTAGTATTTATAGTATTTACGTATGTTTTATGTGGGATTTGTCATTGTGAAATATAAAAAAAGTCTCCATTTAAGGAAGTTACTTCATTTTTAATGGATTTTAAAAGTTTAATTAACAGTTGAAATCTCATTATCTCTAATTTGAATCTTCAAAATCTATTTCTATACGAAAATAGTACAGATTATGGCAGTTTTATCCTTAATGACCCAGTTTTTGCTTTCTACTTTATCATATTTAAAAAAAAAATTAATGGATAGAGATTTTCATGTTAATTTTTGTGTTTTTATCGCAAAAAATGGGTAAAAACAAATATAAAAGATAAAATGATTCAAGTAAATTGCCGAAAATTGTATGGTAATTGAATTTAGTTGGGGCTGGGGGTAAAAACTAAATTTTCAAGAAATGAAATTAGAATTCGATAAAAATTAAGCCTTGACGTAAAGTATTGCAAACTATTAAGTAAAAGCAGGGGACTTAAAACAGTTTTAGCGGTATAAAGACGGGAAAACTTCGCATACTATTACATATTGAACAGAAATAGTTTGACTTATCATCAAATCAAGGCACATTATTAAATAAAATTCACTTTACTGTGCTAGGAGATTGCAGATATTTATTTGTTGACACTAGTGAATAAATGCATTTTTGGAAGGAGGTTGTCATTCCGCGACAATCAAAATTTATACCTACTTCATTGAGAATTTCAAGAAATATGCATTTAATTATTTTAAAATTTAATCATCTCAGCACTTATTTAATTTGGTTATTTTTTTCAAAAGCTTAGTCAGCTAGGAATTTTATACATTCTTTTCTCGTTTGTAATACTCAGTGTATATAATAGTTACGTTCAATGATCTCACAGTCATTATTATAAAACTCCACCCAGTTCATAGTACACGGAAATATATGAATATTATCACGATCACAAATCGCCAGATCACTGTTTGATCCTCCCCCCGGGCCCCGTCCGAGCCGCGTGCGTGGGTCACTCGCTGACCATCGTAAATCTGGGTCAAGTCTGTCACAGGTCCTCCGGTGTTAAAAATACACGAAAATCCTACATCTGCTTTAATTAAAACTTCACAACATTTAACTTGTGATCGATTTATTATAGATCTGGACACTCTCATTTCACAATCTACAACTGACGGGTCAATTTGATAGTGTAACCGTTACATGTGGGTTGTGTGACATTATTCATGTTTACCCAATTTTATCCAGACGCTGGAAATATTTGATGGACTTGATAAATTAAAATCTAAGGAATGGATAAAATAAATGGAATATTACTTTACATAACACTGTTGTGTAGAACTAAATAATAGAAAATGCTGTTATACTATTACAATTTAAGGACCCCCCCCTCCTTCCACCCTTTTCTGTAAAATGAAAAGATGAAGATCATGAACAGTGGTTGATCTTTTAAAAAACAGAATAAATCTGTGAAAAGTTCACAAAACACAGACCCAGGAAATTCCAGAGGTGGGATCAGGTGCCTAGGAGGAGTAAGCATCCCCTGTTAACTGGTCACACCTGCCTTGAGCCCTGTGTATCAATAAAGTACATGTAAATGGAACATCCCATAGTCAAATTCAATATGAACACAAGGGCCTAACAATTTCAGACATTTGAAATGTTAATTGTAACAACACATTGTTTAATATTTTTAAATAACCAACACAAACAAATACAGAAATAGTGACTTCTATACCTTTTATTTCAAAGAAAATGGACGGAATGTTTTCAGATCACATACAACCAAATAATTTCCAATATGATATGTCATAGATTAAGATCATCCAAAATAACTGTACCAAAAGCTGTACAGGCAAAACAACATTAAAATAATGTCAATTCAGATCAATTTCTCTCTCTCTTGTGTCCCCTAATGACAAGTCCATCACATGACCAGGCGATCTTCCTCCAGCACAGCGGGGGGCTGCTCCCCATAGACACCCCCTCCCATTCCTCCCCCGAAGCTCCCGGACAGCTCGAAGCAGTGCCTTTTACACTCCAGGAGCCTCTCCACGTCCTTCCACATCTTCATCTGCCTGAGGCTGGGGCCGTGGTTCTCCCTGACCGTCTTCTGCTGTTCTCGCAGACCTTTACCTAGGTTCTCCTGCTCCTGGATCTTCCTCTGGTAAAGCTCTCTGTAAAAGATTAAGAAGAAACAGGCATTATTAGAGACCCCTGTGTACGACTGACAAAGCAGACAAATTTAGTGTCTAGTGTTAATAATTTTAAGAGAAAAAGCGATCAAATAGCACTACCTCATAAGTGTCAACTTTAATCAGTATCCAAGTTGAAAAGGGGGAGAATATTTTTTTAAACATTTTTTTCACATTAGCCAGAGAATCCAATATACTAAAACTGAATTATTTTAAACTAAGACACTAAAATTGATGAATATTTTCAAGTTTCAAAAGTGAATCCAATGATACAGAATGGCAGAATCAGAGCCACATCAGGTATACTAAATGTAGCAATCTTTTGAATGCCATTGTTTGTCCAATCTCATGTAGGGAAAAAAAAGCATGTCTACCAAAAACAAACATCAACACTACCTGTATGTCTTTTTGCGAGCGTAGGGATCAGCTGATGTGTAGGCCTTCATCTCGTCAGCCACCTTCCTCTGTTGTACCTCCACCATCTGCATCATACAGTGGAGGTAGTGGTAGCGGGACTCCTCCTGGGAACACTCCTCCTGATAGGCCCGCACCTCCTGTAAAAGGAAAATCATAAACATTAATTAGGCAAAACAATCATGTCCGCACCCCCTGTAAAGGAAAAACCATAGGAAAATCAATAACGCCCACACCTCCTGTAAAAGGAAAATCAATTAGGCTTCCACCCCCTGTGAAAAGAAAATCACAGGCAAATAAATAACGCCTACACCTTCTGTGAAAGAAAAATCACAGGAAAATCAAATAGGCCTGCAACTCCTGTGAAAGGAAAATTTGGCACATTTATCAGGCAAATCAATTAGGCCAAAACCTATCATGCAAATCAACTGGATCAAAATTTCCTGTTAAATGCTAATTAGGAACATTTCTGGGGCTATCAGGCAAATCAATTAAGACCTGAACTTCTTGTCAAATTCAAATAAGGCACACAATACAAAATCTTAATATGGATTACGTGACTGATGTATATAATTTATTATAGAGTAAGTAGGAATCAACAAAATTAATGTCATACTGATGATACGAATTAATTTATTATATTATGTCAAGAAGTTTATGAAACTGTGTTTGAATTGACTGGGCAACATGGGATCCTATTTCATAGCAAGAAGTGAAGGTGTCCTGAAATAAGGGTCAACGCTGAATTTAATCTACTTGTAGATCACTTTACATATTTTAACATTCATAGGTTAATAAGTAACAATTCTGAACAAATCAAAACTCTAGATTCCCAATTCCTTTAATTTTGGATAAAAATAACAAAAATATTTCACAGAATGTCAGAACAAGTGAAAATTTGAATCCTTCAGGAAATAATGTTTATCCCTTTCAAAATACACTGAAAACCATTTTCTTGTTTTCAAGTTGAGTATCTTTTATTTATTCATACCAAACTACAAATCTGCAAATTAATTACAAGGTAGAATAGGATGAAAATCAAATGATGAAAGCAGATATTTCCATGAATATCACTCATTTTTGTGGGGATTTTTCATCGTTTTCGAAGTACGAAGATACCAACAAATTTTTGTCCACAATGAAATGTAATTTCTCGCATACATGACTACTCAACGATTTCTTCATCCACAAAATCAAATCCTTTCGAACTAATATTTTTGATACATGTACAGACCACAACATTTTACCTGTTCTCAGTAATTATCTTAACCTGTATACAATAATTCTGTTTACCTGTTCCAGTTTAGCCATGTTGCTCTCCAGGCCGGCAGCAGCAGTATCATAGGCCTGCTTCTTCTCCGTGTGTTGGTTTGTCAACTCCTGTAAAAAGAAGTAGTAAAATTTCATAACTTTTTTCCTTATTTTGGCAGCCTTTTTAAAATAAGGAATTATAAATTCAAAGATTCTGCATCATAAAAACTGGAAATTGGCATGTATAAGCATATAAGAGGTGCAAATTTTTTTTCACTTCTTTTGTTTTCATAAGAAAAAATGAAGGGTACCCTTTTTGCCCATTTTGAAATTAAAAAAAACAGTGTTCATATGCCTGACAAAAATATATTTGGAAATTGGGAAATTAATTGCTGATTTTCATAAATAATTTAAAGTGTTTTATTTCATTCATTCAGCTTGACTTCAAACACATTCACATACATGAGCAATATACCTATATCTTCCCCCACATAAATAAAGGAAAAAATCACACATTTATTACATCAAAGCAACACTTTTATTTATCATTACAGTCATAAACTGGTTATCAAACATTTATACATGAAGGCAAAACGTGAAACTGTTTTCCCTATGTTTATGTCACTGACTTACATATTCATGAGTAATTTATTCTCTTCATGACTCACA